CTGGAGAATTGCGAGCCGACGATCACGCAGTGTGCTTGGACCACACCGTGTAATCGTCCAATGTGTCTCGTTTGGTTTCTGAGGTGCACACGAACGGATGTGCAAAATTGCTCAAATGCTTCAGCTGCCCCGAAACCTAACGCCCTAAACATGATATGTAGAAGATAATAACAATAATGAATATAAAAATCGACAAGAGTACTGAGAATGAGAAGGAAAGCTCTCCGAGATACTGACCGACATGCATACAGCTACTACCATCCTAAGTCAATGTACCTGCCTATTTCTTTCCTGTACCTTTCGGGCCATACTTCATGTTTCCCAGGGTTTAGGATTTGGGGGCTTAGGGTGCAGGGTTTAGGGTTTCATATTTCCCAAACTCGGTGGGAACGAGGTGTCGTAGTTCGCAATCTGTGGTGTTGTTATTTCAAGTTGCCCCAATCTCCCAAAAGCCTCCATCGTGCAGACTAAGCAGATTTTCGTGTCGCCACCTCCAGCTACGCCATGGCAAAGTAGGGCTCCTGTAGTAGGAGTTATCATGACGGCTTTTGCAAGTATTCCCTCTGTAGCTGCTTAAGACCTTCTGGGATTACAAAGGCAGCAGAGTCTATACCCAGAAAACCCGCAAAAGCCTTCTCTTACCGAAATAAAAGGCCCTCATAAGGCTCCCGGGAAGCACCGAGAAGTCTTCGAGGGACGCTAATTCAGGGCGAGGGTATAGGGCTCAGAGCACGTAGCCCAACCGTAATGCCCGTACCGGGAGGCCAAACCTTCACCGCCTTCACCCTAAACACTTCTCAGCCCAACGATCGTCCTAAACCTAAACCCTATGCCTTAAACTGGCCCTGAACCCTATTGAAGTGCCTTCAAAAGCCAAGCCCGTTTCGGTCGTCATATGAACAATGACTGGAATCCATGCCGCGATTGTAGGGTTAGCCCTCAAGACTCAAGAGGGCAAGTAGGAGTTTCAGACGAGAAGGGGCCCGAATGTAGATACTGACAAAGGAGGATCTTCACGCCTTGGTGCCTGAAATGCCCAGTGATGAATTCGGAAACCCCACAGCAATATAGAAAATCCATGCCAGCAAAAACGATGAACTCTACAAAGCCTTAGAAGCCCTACGAAGCTGCTTCAGGTATCCCGGAAGTACCGGCGAATCCTGGAGTCTCTCTTGTCGATTGGCTGCCACATCGCCTGCTGCACTGCCTGGGTCTCAGAGACAGCCCATGACAGCCCTGTTGCGAACGGATAATATTATATATATATATATATATACATATATATGTATGTATATATATATATATGTACCTAACTGTATATGTGTATATGTAAGCAGTTCAACTAATAGCAGTAGCTAATTAAGCACATAAACCAATAGGTACAGAGAACAATTAAAGAAAACAACAAGTGTGTGTGTGTGTATGTATGCATGTATATATGTATAGATGTATGTATGCATGTGTATACATATCTATCTATCTATCTATCTATCTATCTATCTATCTGTATAGACATGGGCGCATATGTGCGTATGTCCGTATGTACGTACGTATCCATGCTATCTGTGCATGGTTATGCAGGTATACGTGTATGAGTACGTGTGCATGCATGCATGCATGCATGCACGCATGGATGCATGGATGGATGGATGTATGTGTGTATGTATTACGAATATGTATGTGCGCAATGCGTGCATGCATGCACATATTATGTATGTGCGTATGTTTGCATGTATGTTTGCATGCATGTATATGTGTATGTACACTTGCATGCATACATGCAGGTACGTATATGTAGACGTACACATGTAATGTGGTTATGTCACATATCTAACCTGAGTCTGAACATGGCAGGCTTAAACAACTCGACTAGTCTTTTTTGAGGGGTTAGAGTACACGAGGAACACTTCATCTTTATTGTTAGTACTATCGTTACTGTTATTGCTCTTCTTGTTTGTATTATTTTAGTTGCTATGATAGTCGTTTGTTATCATTATTATTCGTCTAGTAGTAATAGTAGTAGTAGTAGTAGTAGTAGTAGTAGTAGTAGCAGCAGCAGCAGCAGCAACAGCAGCAGTAGTAGTAGTAGTAGTAGGCGGCCCCCCCCCGTCCTCCCCCTCCCCCGACCAACGACCTGCCGGCTGAAACCATCTTAAGTTTAAGGGCACCTCCATTTTACTTGCTATTTGCGGTACTTTCGTATTTCCCTACCACTTCTTTTCTCAAAATCCACTTGTCGACTTTGCAAAGTCGAGCTTCGGATTTTGGCAGGGTTCCGGGGGGTTTGGGGGTGGGGGTAATGACGACTCGCTTGCGCGATCTTGCGCGCACGTGCATTTTACTTGGCATTTACAGTAGCATTTACAGTACTTTCGCAATGTCCTACCACTGCTTGCTGCCTCAAATATCCATGTGTCGGTTTTGCCAGCTTTAGTGCTTGTGATGATGAACCTGATGGTTTCAGCCGGCAGGTCGTTGGAGGGGGGGTGGCTAGTAGTCGTCGTCGTCGTCGTCGAGGTAGTAGTATTCTTTATTCAGTCACGTGGGTTAAGGTTTGCAATCCCGTCTACACCCTAAGTATACGCACGCTGATCGGCAGGGGATCATGCGCAGCTTGCTTGGTTATGTTGGGTCATGTTAGGTCTAAACGTCGCTCCTTTCCGCATCGGTTCTACGTCAGGAGATCACCACTGTAGCTCAGGAATCCCTACGAAAAGCCGCTCAAATGCCTGCAAACCCCCCAAGCCACTGCAGAAGTCTTCTATAATTGTTTGTGTCCCTGCCGATAGCTTCAAGATCTCAACCATAGAACTTGTAGATCGAACATGAAGCCCAGTTCCCCTGACTGTCTATGTGGGACCATAAAGCCACTCGCAACCCTAAACTTGTGACGCCTAATTCTGGACCGGAAGAGCTAGGGACATACGGGAAGCTAAAAAGCAGAAACCCCAGCCTGGACGCTGTGCATTTTGCATGTTGTTGTTGTTGTTGCTGCTTTGTCTTGTCACTGCTATAAAGAACAATACAGTTGGATATTCCATCGACTCATGTTTTGGTTGGAAAGCCATGAATGGTGTTGCAGGAATATGTAGCCCACCGAATAATACTAGGCTCACGCAAGATTTTTGTGGGTGGGGGCCGTACCAAACAGAAACAAGTCTACAAGCCGTTAAACTATAAATCGTTTCCAGAAAAGCCTAGTAGCCCCAAAACCTTAAGCGCTAAACACAAAATGTAATCCGGAAAAGTCTAGAAGCCCCAAAACGCTAAACCGTCTGCTCACTTCTGAAAAGCAGAAGAGAGTGTTCGAGCCGAACTTCCCTAAACGCTAAAGCTCGTCCAACCCTAAACTTAAACCCTACTGTAACTGTTACAACCCAAACCCAAAACCCTTAAACCCAGAAAACCCTAAACCAAATCCAGCAGAGGTCTACAAGCCGAACTTCCAGCACATCTTTCTCAAAGCTTTGGCGGGAGCTAGCCTTGGGTTCGCCCTCACCCTGTCTGCTGGGTTGGGGCTTCGGGTGTGGAGGGTTCGGGGGTTTAGGGGTTAGGGAATTTGTGTTTAAGGTTTTAGGGTTAATAGGGGTTGAGGGGTTTTAGGGTTTAGGGTGTAGGGGTTTAGAGTTTGGGTTTAAGGTTTGCGGCTTAGGGTTTAAGGGGAGTTAGGGATTAGGTTACTCGAGCCCCAAGCAACCTACCTTTCACTTTCTTGAGGGACCCAGTTTAGGGTCGGGGTCTGGATCCGGGCAGTCCGAAGCAAATTGCAACGGTATCAAAGTATAACCGAATTATTTGTCCCGTAAGACTTCAAGGAAATCTTTCGGGTTATAGGTACAGGTATACCCCCAACCACCAGATCCTAAACCCAAAACCCGAGCCAGCATAGGCAGGTTAGAAGTACCCTGAGCCTCCAAGTTGCTGTTGTAGGTGGGGGTGGCGGGGTGGGTTCCGGGTTTAGGATTGATTTAGTTCGGGGAGGGGAGCGACTTGTATGCCAGTGTCTGGGGGTTTTAGTCGGACTTGATGCGGCCGAGCTAGGCTCGGCTGGTACAGGCATGTTGTTGGTCTTTGTGAGGTGGTGGGTGTAGCTACCGATTCGGATGTCTGCCCAGTGTACCTAAAGAGCCCCCGATTCTTCAACAGTCGAACATATGACATACGGCTTACTGCGTTTTGGTGAAGCATTCGATGTAAACTAATCCTGCGAAGGGCGCAGCGTGCCGGTTGTGTGCTTTGACGTAAAATGCAACGGCGCCGAAAGGTTCCCCCTTCATCCAAAGAGCCCGATGCTTGTACTTTAAAAGGGAGCCCTCAGCCCCAGAACTCTAAACCCTAAACCCTACACCTAAACCCTAAACCCTAAACCCTAAAGATTCTCAGCTCCGAATGTTGAGCTCTAACTTCCGAGCCCAGCAACAACTAAAGTCCTGCCCCTAAGCCCAGTCACTTTGTACGGCGCTTGTGACCAAAGCTGTCGCTACGATAGCCCTGTCCCAAGCAGAAAAGCCGCCCATGAATTCTTAAGCAGGTCCGATTTTAGGCGCAACTCTGTGGCCACTATCAATTGACATATAAACTTGTAAGTGCAAAAGTAAACCTTCAAACCCGAACCCCACGCCCCACGCCCTAAACACATCTGAAGACCTGAGCCCATAGGCTCATAAATCCTATAATTACTTTTGTCTTTAGCTTAATCTCGAGAAACAAACAAAATGTGTAACAACATGCTTTGATACCAATCTTCAGCCTATCTTCAGGCGACTCCACAGCCGATTCAAGAGGAGAGATCCGAGTCCTACGGCTGATGGACAAAATCCTGCATGACCCTATATACCTAAACTATGGGATTTATGGTCCTATACCATATTAGGGTCATGCAGAATTTTGACCATCAAACAGTAGGTCCTAAGCTTGTGTACCGTTGAGGGTACATTTTGCAGGTTCAGGCTTTGAGGTTGTGAGGTTTAGGGTTGTAGATACCGTCGTCTTCGCAAGCCATGCACGTGGTGGGCCTCATCAGCGGTGGCAAGGACGGGAAGATCTTAGCGCCCGAAGTTGTTCTGGTGATGTCTTAGGAACCCCAAAAGGACATAAGCATAAGCATTTTATAGGGATGTCCCTACCTTATTGGGCTTCATTATAAGGGGATTTATATGGGATTTCCCTATCCTAATTTTTGCTTATGTGCTTTTCTGGGGCCTTAATGTCTTGCTTGCCTGTGGGTTTCATGGGAGTCCTCCCTCCTCCACCTCGGCTCCGGGCCGCCCATGTGTTCCCATGTTGGTAAAAGAGCGAAGCTTGGTTTTGTAGGGTCTAGGATTGTGCTTGGGCTCGACGGTTCTGGACTTCGGATCTGCTGTAGGACCTCGACGACTTGAGTTTAGTGCGACAGGGCAGGTCTGGAGGTATTGTCAACACTGTGTCGATAAAGTCTTTTCCATGTTTACTACGCCCAATATCCGAGCATTTGGCGGTTGGAAATTCGATTGCAAGAATATTTACTTCGATCCGTAGACTAAGAACAACACTTCGCATTCGAGCTCTTCAGGGGTTTCAAGCATTTCGAGCGACGCCTTAAACCCTAAGTCCGAACAGCCGAACTCTAAATCCCAAGACCGAGTCTGTCCGCAGGACTCCGTTTGGAACTTGCACTACTGCAAGCCTGCCGTGTTTCAAGTCCTTCGGAAGATTTGCCTTGCAAGCCTGATTGAAAGGGGTGTAGGGTTTAGGGTTTGCGGTTAAGGGTTTAGGGCTCCGGGTTCAGAGTGTAGGGTTTGGCGGGTTTGGGGTTTTCCAAAGCTTTAGAATAGAAGCCCGAAGCTGCGGAAATCAGATACTCTGCAATTTGCCTGAACGTTTGCAGCTGATTAACAAAGTCGCTTTCCCCAATAAGGATCATCATAGCGATCCTGCTGCTTAGCTACGGCGCCTTCGAACATACAAGTTTCGACAACTGATGTGATGTTACATTGTAGTGCAATGTAATACAACATACTGCTATACGATATAAACTTGATATAGCTTAGATAACAATTCCCCTAAACCCGAAACCCTTAACCACAAACCGTATCGTCCCTCGTTTCATGTTTGTCTATGTAGCATGATGGACTCGAACATCTCACCCAAACTATTCAGGGCCATCTTTCGGTGTCTTTATGAATCAGTTTTGATAAAACTCCAAGGGGTTGTGAGACATATTCTTTGTATAGTAAATCTCGAAGGGGTTACTGGCAATATCAGGCTTAGTCTGGCTTCTCAGGGCACACAAGCAGATTCCATCGAGCCTCACAAGTGGTGAGCTTTGCGCGCCGGCTTGGCGCAGCTTCTAAGCCAGCCTGTGACCTAAACGTCTCGAAAGCTTTGGAGTTTAGGGCTTTACTTTTCACTAAACTTTACGCTCAAAATAGGCCAAAAGCCCTAGAAAGCATGGTCTTTGGTCCCAAAGCCTTAGAATAAGAGTCCCTACGGTCGAGCCTTAGGGTAAGGTTTAGGGCTTCGGGTTAAGATTGTGGGGTTCCAGGCTTTAGTGCTTGGAGTCGGGGATTGCCTTTAAGGGGTTCCTCTACGGGGGCCATAATTAAGGGGTTCCCCTTAAGGGGTTCCTTCAAAGGGGTACTGTAAGGGGTTCCTTTAAGGAGTTCCTTTAAGGGTTTCTGAGCTTCCTGAGAGTACGTCGTCCATCCGTCTCGCGGTTTGTCTGTTTGATTCTGTCGTTGCCACTGGCATGTTCCACACTGAATCCTAAACCCTACACCCTAAACCCTGAGCCGCCAGGCGAGCAGTTCGGGCATGAGATCGTCTGCGTCGCAAACCTCGCCCCCCCAGATGGGGTTACTGCGGGATGCTCAGTGCCAGCCTTCAGCCCTGAATTCCGATTTGAGGCTTACCTATAGTCTCCGTTGTAGTTCCTCTTTGTTGGTGTAACGGTTCTATATGCAGGATCTTAGAAGGTAGCCCCAGAAAGGAACTATGATGGAGAGTATAGGTAGAGTTTAGGGTTTGGGGTTTGCGGTTGAGAGTATTTGGGCATGGTGCTTGGGTATCGGGTGGCGAGCTGATGCGTGCAAGGATCAAGTCGGAAACACATCAAAGGTCAAGGTACTCAGGACGCTGGACCTCCCTCCTTGAAGGATGCTATAATCGTATAGCCTAAACCCTAAACCCTAAACCCTAGCATATGTGGGTGTAAGCATAGGCTTCGGGTTACAAAGTTGGCGGGAGGCTCAAAAGGTTGCATCGTCGTTAGAGGGCAGATGGAGTGTGAACCTGATACACTTACAGGTTTTAGGATTTAGGGTGTAAGGTTTAGGGTTTAGGCTTTGAGGGTTTAGCCGCTTTCGGGTTTTGGGGTTTTGGGTGCAGGGTTTAGGGATCTAGGGTTTAGGGACCTTAAGGTGTGGCTTTTCCGAGTTTTTGGAGCAAAGCCAACCCTAAACCTTGAACCGTTTAGGGTTTAGCGTCTAGGGTTTAGGGGCAGCGTGCTGGAGTTTAGAGGCTCCATCGCTAGGAAGCTTTTGTTTGCCCTGCGCCCAAGAGATCTTCCCTAGATATCCGTAAGGTCCCTGTACCCTTTTAGTATATAACTTGACCCAAAGCTATCTTTAAAAGGATTGCTTTAAGGCCAAAATAGAAAAGTTTGCGGTTTAGGAGGCCATGGGCGTGTTTTCGGCATGGGGTTGGGGTTCAAATCCAAATCTTGACCCCAAATGGACCTGGTGACGATATAGTGTTTATAGAGTTTATGCACCTGGTGACCAGGTGTTTAGGGTTCGGGCGGACAGCTGTTCAGGGACTCGGTGTTTAGGGTTCAAGAAAGCTACAAGTCGAAGTTGTTCGGGCGGTATAGCTTCCTTGTTCTTGTCAGTATGACGTGTTTCGGGTTTAGGGTAATGTAGGTGCCTTAATAAGTATAGAACAGGGTTTTGGGGGGTCCTTTCTAGTATTTTTAAAATAAGGAACTCCCCAAAATCTGATTCTATTAGGCAGTTGGTGAGCGGTTCGGATTTGCTGTCTCGCGCTGCTGTTGGTAGGTTGAGGATGTTTTGCGTCAACCCTAAGCCTGAAACCTTAAAGTCTAGGATTTAGGGTTCGGCGGTTTCTGAAACCCTAAATCCTGCGCCCTAAACTCCACAAGACACTGCAAAGGGAAAAAGGAGTTTAAACAACAAAAAACTGGAGGCTGCTAATGCCTACATCCGAGCCCGCATGCCAGAGGAGCTGGATTCCTACATGTACCAGACCGAGCCACGGCCGCACTGCTGGGTTTTGTCTGAAGCTTCGAAGACGTTACTCTGCGGACCGGAATACTTGCGACTACTATTCCGTATGGGGTTCGGTACTACATATGATTACACTATCAGAAACCCCAAGGCCCTTTTCTGAAGATTAATAAGGTGCCTACATTCTTTGAGGGCTTGAGATCTTGTCGTATACTTTACACGGGAAGACTTCGCAAGGCCAGACGTTGGTCTGCTTGTTTTGAAGGACGCAATGCCTTGTCCGAAACCCTCAGCAATAATCAGCCGCGTGTTTTGATTTCAGCTCGCTCTGGACCCTTCAAGAATGCCGCGCAAGTCTGCTTCAAGCTGTGGCGCCAGCGCCAGCTTGTGGTCGGAAGCCATCATGCACAATGACCTCCTTGAAGGATCCTGCTGATGCCACCTGCTGAAAAGGGCTTTCTTCGGCGTGACGCAACATCATCCTTCACGAATATCGCCGCTGCGTGAACTGGTGGGTTGGCATGAGAATCATCGCCGGCGCTAGCTGGATGAAGAGCCGCACTTTGATTTCCCGATCATTCCCCCTCTAAACCCCCGCTCGCTATGAAGCCCGAAAAGACCGATACAGGATGACACGCCCAAAAACCCCGAACAATTGAGCACTCAACCTCGACTCCTAAACACTATAATTTCTCTTAATATAATGCAACATAATCAGATAATATGATATATATATATATAGCATATATATATATATATTTATTTATTTATTTATACATACGATATAAGCCTTAACCCCAAGCCCTGAACTTAAGATCGCCAAGCAGCCCAGGCATAAACCGCTCGCTCTCAACGGCTCAAAGCAAACATGACCTCTGCACCCTCAGCTCCGGGTCTTTAGGGTTTAGGGTTTAGTGT